GAGGGGGAGCATGCTAACAGTTACCCTTTGGTCCCACGTTCTTTGTTCTTTTGGGTCTGACAGATAGGACATGCCTCATAGTTTCCCTGCAATCGGTATAATAGCAACTGTTGTGGTTCTGAAGGTGTCCTTACTCAGAGGAGATGTGTGCAGAAGGACGTAGAGCGTTATCAGCCCACCAGGAAAACTCTAACCTCCATCCATCTCTAACAGTGAAGTCTTCTTGGAACTTAACCACATGTGTATTATATACGGCGACTATTGTACTACAGTGCAAACTGAGTAAGTGGGACATAGATGGCATGGCTTCTGTAGCCTAGAAACACTCCATGGCAATGTTCAGAAAGTACTTAGCTGACACTTGGGTCAGAGTGTCATTATCTATGCAACCTTCTTAAATTGTTCAGCAAAACAAAGCCAAAAAGATACACAAATGTACATATAAATATGTATAGTTATATATATGTGCATACACATGTGTGTCTATGCATATACATGTGTGTTTGTATATGTGTATACATAGGTATGTAGACATGTACACATAAACAAAGACCTGTATGTATATATCCACATATATGCATATGAAAGAACAAAATTTGGCAAATATTATTTGTTTTTTTGTTTGTTTGTTTGTTTCTTTTTGGTTTTTGGTTTTACGAAACAGGGTTTCTCTGTATTGTTTTGGAGGCTGTCGGTCCAGCCCGGCCTCGAACTCACAGAGATACGCCTGCCTCTGCCTCCCGAGTACTGGGATTAAAGGCATGTGCCACCACCGCCCGGCTGCAAATATTATTAATTAGTAAATTCAAGTAAAAATGTATAAATGTTCATTTTTTCTCCAACTTTTCTGTATGTTGAAAAATACTTAAACAAATCTTACTTCATTTAAAAACTTAAAGAACTGTCCTCAAAAATTATAACTCATAGCAAACCTAACAGTAACTGCAATAGATTTTAAAACACTGCTTGAGCCCATGTGGTAGCACACATTTGTAATTCCAAAACTTGGGAAGCAGATGTGGTAAGATTGGCCTATGTTTAAGACAGCCTGGACTGCACAGTGACAACCATAATCAGAAGAAAGGGTGTGTGTGTGTGTGTGTGTGTGTGTGTGTGTGTGTGTACACACTGAGTTAACCTCATTCAAAACAGCAATAAATACTCAGGTTTAACTAAAGAGAAAGTGTGGCATACTCAAGTTTTTACCAGGGTTCAGAAAAGCATATTGATTTATGGAAGTCACTGCGACTGTTTAAAACTAGGAAACCCTTACTTCTACAAGTATGTGATAAACAGTTAACAAAGACAAAAGTGGCTTTGGATCACAAGAGAAACAACACATTCCCAAAGAATACTCCAAGATCGAATATTTTTTTTAAACGTCCATTTTCCACAAAGGCAACTACAGCATGATGCAATCCCAGTAAAAATCACCATGAAGTATTATTTGAGCAGAAATAACAGTGAGAAAATAGTTTAAGACTTCTGCTGGTAGGAAAAACATAGGTGAGGTTATTAGCCAAAAACATTTTGAAAATAAAGCAAAATGATGGGGTTCTTACCTAAATAGATGCTGAAAATTATCTTAAAGCTATGGTCAGTAAACAATTAGTCTGGTTCAGGAATAATAAATCATAGTGGAAAACTGAAGAGATCTGGGGCCAAGTGAAGAGAAACTCCAGTCAAGATAGCAGACAAAGGGAAAGTGTCTCAACCACCGCTGTAATGCCAGAGTAGCTGGGAAAAAAATAGAGTCAGAGCACTATAGAATATACTCTCCTAAGATGGAGGAAAATTAAATATGGAGAAGCAAGCACACGAAAAGTATAAAAACCAATGTAGGTAAGCTTCCTAAGTAAACCTAAAACAGATGATAAAGATTGATGAGCTTGGCTCACGAACGTCTTCAGCTTCCATACATCTGAAAATGTGATAAGTATAACTGAAAAAATCAATGACTGCTGAGGAACGTATCTCAATATCCTCACCATGTAACTGCTAAGGAGGAAGGAACAGGCTTTAAAACAGATAGATGCTGTAAAGACACCGACAAGGGAAACTCAAAGCTAACTCCTTCCAAAGCTTCACATGGAGGTACTAGACCAAGCTCCAGCTTGGGTTCTATCTCATAAGACCATGGCCCTGGGATGAATCGAGACCACTGAAGTGTATGCCTGAGAAAGGTCAATAATACCAGAAGAATGTGCAGTGTGGTCTAGCCTGCACCTGATGAGGCTATCTGTTCTTACAGCACTCCCTACAAGGAACTTAAAGTTGTGACGATATCTGCTTCATCTCAAAAGCATGTGTCTGGATGCTCAGAGAGCTGTTCTTTGGCCCGTAATTACCAGCAGGAGGGGCTCCTTCCCCAAGCTTCAGAGGGAGGACAGATGCCCCATTTCACCAATGGCTTGGCATCTAATCAGAAGCTTCTAGCTTCTTCACTCCTCTAACTCTGCAGAGAGCAGACTCTCCCCTTCCCTATCCGTGAGTGCTCATTCCCTCCAATCACCACAAATGCTAAGGGATTGCAGCTCTTTCCCCCAGTGTCAACAGCAGAAAAACTTTTTTGCTTTGTGTTTTGTTTTTGGCAAGTGTTGATTATGAAACCCAGGGTCTTGTGCATACTATACCCCAGCCCCAAACTCTGTTTCCATGCCTTGACTAATGCCCAGCTGTGTTTGATTTCAACAATACAACTTACAAAGCAGTACAATGTAGAAATTGAATGTGATTTTTGTTTGTTTTCTGCTTATCTGTATTTTTGTGTGTGTTTTCTAATTAATGAATGTATTGCACCTGTAATGAAAATAATGTTTCCAGGTGACTTAAGCTTCCTACCAGTTGTGGTTTCCTTTCTGTTGCTATGATAAATTACCCTGACAACAGCAACTCAGGGGGAAAAGGGTGATTTCTGCTCAAAATTGTAGGCTGCAGCTCATGGCAGGAAGTCAAGGCAGTGGGAACCCCAGCAGCTGGTCATAAGCAAAAAGAATGGATGCCTGCATGCTGAGACTCAACTCCCTTCTCTTTTCTACATACAGTCCAGGCTCCAAGCCCAGGGCATAGTGTTCCCTTTTTTAGGTTAAATCTTCACATATCAATTAATGTAAGCAAGATAATCCCCCACAGACAGACCCAAGAGCCAACTAATTTAGACAGTTCCTTTCCCTGGTGATTCTAGAGTGTGTCAAGCTGACAAGTAAAACCAAATATCACACTACCAGAGAGCAGGGAAACTCATCTACCAATTTCAAAGCCCTCTAAATCTAGTTAGGAACACCACAAGACCAGACATTCCTAGTTAATAATACCAAGTGACCAGACATTCCTAGTTAATAAAACCAAGTGACCAGACATTCCTAGTTAATAATACCAAGTGACCAGACATTCCTAGTTAGTAATACCAAGTGACCAGACATTCCTAGAGTACTTATGTCCTCTCCCTTAATCTTCATAGAAATAAAAGGCTTCCCAGGCATGCTGCCACAAAATTTCAATCCTAGAACTCAAGGGGCAGAGGTAAGTGAATCTCTGGGAGTTCAAGGTCAGCCAGGGTGACCTACCAAGACCCTGACAAAACAAACAAATCCAAAGTAGACTATTCTTACTACCATTTTACCAGAAACAAGTCAATAGCTCAGAGAAATTCAGCAAGTGTACTGGCTACTCAATGTCACACAAGCTAGAGTCATCACAGAGGAAGGAACCTAGAAGACAAGCTATGTGTGCTGCAGAGGCTGGAGTCAGAGAAGTGACCCAAGCCCCTTGGAGGGGTCCAGAAGTCTGTGATTGGATCCCAGATGGCTGTAATCTGGTTTTGCTTTGATTGGGACTGTGCCCTGATTTTTCCCTCTTGAAGTAAGAAAGTATTGAAGCTCATGGTTGAGAGACTGAATTTGAAGACTTTGGATTTCAAAATAGATTTGCTGTATTAAAGGGACTGAAATTTTAATGTTTGAATTTTTAAAGACTGTGGAACATTTAAGGTTATTTATGTTTTTAATGTGAGCTCTTGGGGATGAATAAGAAAGGAAGGGGTGTGATGCGTTTGTGTGATTTGTTTGTGTGTCCAGTGGACAAGAGGTCAGTTGTGCTGGCTGCTTTTGTGTGTCAATTTGACAAAAGATGTAGTCATCAGAAAGGAAGGACTGAGACTCAGTGGAGGAAATGCTCCCATGAGATTCAGCTAAAAGGTATTTTTTCAATTACTAATCAATGGGAAAGGGCCCAACCCATGGTGGGTGGTGCCATCCCTAGGCTGGTAGACCTGGATTTTGAAAAAAAAAGCAGGCTGAGCAAAACATGACAAGCAAGCCAGTAAGGCACCCTCCATGGCCTTGGTCAGCATCAGCTCCTGCCTCCAGGTTCCTGCCCTGCTTGAGTTCCTGTCCTGACTTCCTTTGGTGATGAAGAGCAATGTAGAAGTGTAAGCTGAATAACTCCTTCTTTCCCAACCTCTTTTTGGTCATGGGGTTTTGTTACAGCAATAGAAACCCTAACTAAGACAGAATGTTCCGGGCATTGGTGGTGCATGCCTTTAATACCAGCACTTGGGAGGCAGAGTCAGGGGGATCTCTGTGAGTACGAGGTCAGCCTGGTCTACAGATCTAGTTCCAGGACAGTCTCCAAAACAATACAGAGAAATCCTGTCTCGAAAAACCAAAAAAAAAAAAAAAAAAGACAGAGCTAGAAGTGAATTCCAGATGATCTGGACAGCAGCCTAGTTCCTGAGGTCTCATTTCACAACACACTCAGCTTGGGATGAAGGAGGCCAATATTCTGTTCCTAACTCTACATAATCACTATTATGTGTGGCCTTGGCAACTTGTTTTCCTTGTCTGGTCCTCACTTCCCTCATCTATGCAACAAGAAATCAGGCATGCCAGATTCTGTCTCATAACACACCCAGAACCAACCAATGACCAAGAGCAGATTCAAACCAGACAGTGGTCACACCAAACTTGGAGGCAAAAGTAGGCGCCTGTGTACTGTCCCACCTTGAATTCCTCATGTATACGCTCCTCCAGGACTTTGGCAGCCTTTCTGTCCTCCATCTCCACTTTCCACCTCTCTGCCAGAATCCGGGCTTTCTCATTGGCCAAGGCATCCCGGAACTTCTTGGTGATCTCTGCTTCCTTCTGTCTCCTTCCAAGAGAGCAGCAGCAAGGGTGAGCTTGAGTGAAAAACTAGAAAATCACGTCACCATGCAAGTTCAAGTAAAAACAATGAGCAGCTTCTCCTTGGTACACAGAACAGAAAACACAAAAATTAACATAACTCACAATGGCAAAGAAAGGGAGAGATGACACTCATGTAGGAAAGGAAGGTTAAACCAGCAGGATCATTCTGGAAGCTAAGAAACAAGACATGAAAATCCCACTTCACAGTCAAGTAGCGTGAGGTATACACAGTAGATGTTCAGCAGAGAAGTTTTATGAAAAGGCATGATAAGCAATTCAAATGTCTATCAAAGACATAAATAAGTTGCATTCTTATGTAATAGAACACTACATGAGGATCTTCAATGGCCTTGGAATTTGAAATGATGGGATCTATAAAGGTATAAATATTTTTTGTCTCTTAAATACTCTTCATGGCTAGCTTGGGTGGTGGATATTCTTTAATTCATAATAGTCTTCAGTCTTGTTTACATCTTTACAATTTTACAACTAAAACACCATCATTCATACTTGATGGTAGAGGGTGCTAAAGACACTGTCACATGGATTTACAAGTTTGACAAGAAAAAAAAATGTTAAAAGTTGTCAACAAAAAGAGTCTGACTCCAAACTTTCCTGAGGGCTAAGCTGTCCTTCTACATATTATACATAAATAATGTTCAGAGGAACAACAGATATTCAAGGTGAAGCAGTACTCCTAGACCATCCCTGTGAGAATTTCCCAGAGTAGCTGGGGCTGTGGAAATAGTTCATTTGGTAAAATACTTGCCATGTGAGCGCAGGAAATGAATTCAGATCCTTAGAGTGCTCATCGAAATCTGGATGCAGTAGCAGTAACACATTCTTATAATCCCAGCACTGAGGCAACAGAAACAGGAGGATCCCTAAAAATCACTGGCTAGCCAGTCTAGTTGCATCCATGAGCTACAGGTTCCATGAGAGACCCTGCCTTGAAAAATAGTGTGGAGAGAGAGTGACAGAAGAAGAAATCTGGCCTTACACATACAAGCACACACATAGGCACATGAGCACATGAACATGCACCACACACACACAGCATGCTGTCCATACCAACCAGGTAAATTCAAACTTCCGGCATGCAGGGAGTTAGCTTTTTAGGTCTTATCACTGGTAGGAGAAAACTGAGGTCCCAGATTAGCTGGTTGGTGGGTCTAACACTGGAACCAACACTGTTTACTGATAGAAGACTCTGAAGCCTTGGTTATGTGATCTTTACAGAGCTCAACACAGCCAGCCACTGACCAGCACCTCATTTTTCCACCCCCAGCACCCTCCCAGCCAGCACCTCTCACCAGAGCTCCTCAGCCTCTCTCTGTGCTTGTAGCCGTGCTCGCTCTGCAATCAGCTCCTCAGAGATCTCTTCATAGGGCTTGTCACCAGGGCCTTCACCCATGACCCACACCCAGACCTCTCCATCTGCTCCCAGCAGCCACTGAATATGCTTGTTGCTTGCTGCCCCACGGGGGAAGAAGGAACAGAGAGAAAAGAAGAAACATCTGGTTTCCAGTTAAAGAGAAAACTAAACTACTGCACAGCCCATGGTCTAGAGTTACCACACAACTCAACAGAGCAACAGTGGCTTGGGTATAGATTCAACACATCCCCTCACACCATCCCCTCCAGGGAGCAGTATAACAGCCAAGCCAGCTCCTGAGGCTAGTGTCAGAGATGAGCTCTCATAAGATCCATGTCAGCAAAAATATCAAGGGCTACTGTGATACTCTACAGGAAATGACTTGTACTACTCCCAGATTGAGGCACTCACATGTCAGTGAGTCTTCTCTGCCCTCTCGCTTTCCTATCCACTAGCTAGAAAGAAGGAATCAGAAACGGGAGAGTCGCAAAATGAAGCAGCCTGGAGCCTGGTGTCTCTGTGATATACATTATGCTGTAATTTGAGCAAGAAATGAAACTTTGCTAGATACAGCCACTGGGAGACCTTAGTTTGCCGTTAACAGCGGGCTCCACTGATGACTGTGACTAGATCAGTGATCAGCTGATGTTCCTCTGTGACAAGGTTGCCACAGCAATAGAAACTCTGCATCTGGCATTAGCATCTGGGTGGTGAGTGATAGCTAGCAGGCCAAACATCTGGAGACCCATGCATGCGGGAACAAAACAGCTGGTAAAAATGGCATGGACTCATTAGAGCTTAAAAGCCAAACCCTGTATTGTTTCTGAATTGGGAAGTTGAAAACAAAGCATTAGCAATGTGTATTGGATGCATCTGACATGGTGTTAAGAGGAAAACAAACCTAAAATTCAAGAAGGAATCAAGTGTTTTGCAGGGAGAAGTGAAAGAGAATGGAGAGAATACAGAAATTTGGGATAAAAAAAACTAGATTCCATATTGTAAGAGATGATGGGCATGGAGGTGAATGTTTGTGACCCCAGTACTCTGTAGGTTGAGTCAGGAGGATCATGAATTCCAGGGTAACTGCACAACAATTTGAGATTCTCCTCTCCCTCTCTCCCTCTCTCCCTCTCTCCCTCTCTCCCTCTCTCCCTCTCTCCCTCTCTCCCTCCCTCCCTCCCTCTCTCTCTCTCTCTCTCTCTCTCTCTCTCTCTCTCTCTCTCTCTTACACACACACACACGCGCACGTGCACAAAAGGTAAAATTTTGAGGAGTTTTGCACTACAGAGCTCAATTGTTTCTGTGAGTGAGATGCCCCAGGACACAAACACAGTGGCTGTGAGCATGTGGTCTCTACACTCCACTACAGCAGATGCCACTGAATAAAACCCCCAGCTCCCAGGACCCCGTATTTGCTCATGGCTGTTTCCCAGAGGTTGCCCCAGTCTCTGAGAATGCCAGGCTCATGACTGAGATGTCTGATTCCTTGCCAAAACGTCCTTACATGACACTACTCTCTACAATAAGACCCCAGCCTGCGCCTATCTTTTCCACAAGGCCAAGTGAGAAAATTTTAAATACTTACTTATTTTAAATAGCAATAAACCCATTACATAATAGTACAAAATTGTTTCATAAAAATAACTATATGCGATAAAATAACAGAATTACTATTATTAGAGCCACAATCACTGAGCCACTGTCCTAAAGGCTCAGTTGTCTGCCTTCCTTCTAGATACATAGTTGATATAACGATAATCAGAGTGAAGAGGCAATCTATAGGGAGAGAAAAAATTCCTGCAAACCATACAACTCATTAAGGGTTAGCATCAAAATACATAAGGAACTCAAGCAACACAATGTCAATGAAACAAGTAATTTTGTTTTAAAATGGGCAAAGGGCAACTCACAAAAGAATACATACAAATGGCCAGCTGTGAAAGAAAACATTCAACCTCATTAATCATCAGAGAAGCTCAACTCAAAACACTGTGGGATATCACTCTACACCCATTAGAAGGGTGAACAGCAAATATATAAAGCTAAAAATCTGGGGGCAGGGGCTAGAGTAGTGGTTCTCAACCTTTGGGTTGTGACCCCTTTGGGGGGGGGGTTGAGTGACTCTCTCACAAGGGTTGCATATCAGATACCCTATATATCAGATACATTACCATTCATAGCAGTAGCAAATTTAAAGTTATGAAGTAGCAACAAAAATAATTTTATGGTTGGGGGTCACCACAACATGAGTAAGTGTGGTAAAGGGTTAAAGCATTAGGAACATTGAGAACCACTGGGCTGCAGAGATGACTCAGGGCTACTTGTTGCTCTTGCAGAGGACCTGGATTCCAGTCCCAGCACCCAGATGGCAGCTCATAACCATTTGGAACTCCAGTTCCAGGGGACCTAACACCCTATTCTGCCATAGTGTGAACAGCACACATGTGGGCACAGACACACATGCAGATGAAACACCCACAAACGCATCTGTTTGTTGGATTGATTGATTAATTTTCTCAGACAGGGTTTCATTGTATAGTTATGAGTGTCCTGGAACTTGCTCTACAGACCGGGCTGGCCTTGAACTCACTGAGATCTACCTGCCTCTTTCTCTCAAGTGCTGGAAGGAAGTATGCCACCACTGCTTGGCATTTATTTTGTTTTTGTTTTAAATAAAAGTTTTGGGGAGCATAGAGATAAAGGAACATGTGTACAATGGTGTTAGGATGAGAATTAATACTGCCAATGTAAAAAAAACTAAAGAAATTTATCTGCAAACCAAAACTAAAGGTGTCAACATGTACCCATATATACATATATGTATGTGTCCAAAAGAAATGAAGTCTTTATTTCAGAGATGTCTACACACTCATATTCATATGGCACTATGCACAACTGATATGGAGTCAACCTATGTCTTCCAAGAAACATTAACACATAAAAACAATAAAACATTAAGGAATGAATAGTGAAAATGTGATACAATATTTTGGTGGAATACTATTTAGCCCTGGAAAGTAGGAAATTATAAAGTTTTCAACTATATCGGTGAATGTGGTGATGTATTATGGATCTGGGATACAATTAATATTGAAGCTAATGAGCATGATTATGAATGGATAAGAGAGGTGATTTTAAGAGGTTTGAAGAAAAATCAAAATGTCAATTGTTTTAATTGTGAGGTTATAAGCAGGGCATTTCTAGAAATAATGATTTTTATAAACAATCCAAACAGAATGTCCTCCCTTCTGGATTATGCAGAAGTTGTGGAAAAGGCAAGCATTAGATTAAAGAATGTAGTTCAACAAAATACATTCAAAGTAATATTTTGCCATCAGGAAATGCCTTGAGGGGCTTCTCGAAGGCCCCATGTCAAAGTCTGTCCAGTCATTTACTGTTACTGTGAAGGAAACTTTCCCACAATTAAAGAACTTAATGCCTGTTGTAAGAAAATATACTGCTCTGGATGATATAACAATTATAGAAGATAAAACAAAAATTTCAGGAGAAAACATAAATCAAAATTGATAAAGGTTAGATTAGGAATCTCCCCAGAGTTAGAATTAGGGAAGGAATTAGTTTTTGTCTTTTCAGGAAAATAAAAATAGCCATCTGAAGAATTTAAAGACCTTTGGACAAATAAGAATCCAAAGAAGAAGGGAGAACTACCCAGAAAAAATTACCAAGAAAGGAAGAATCTGATCTGATGTGATCTCTGAAGTCTCCAAATAGATGATGGGATCCCACAAAGATAATTAATTCCATTAGGACTATGCTAACACCACTAAGCTGAAAAACACCACTAAAAGATCAGTTTTCGACTACAAACTGCTAATAACAATTTCAAGGTAACTTGATGAAATGATCCAGCCTCACAGACACTGCTCAGAGCTATTTTGAGGAGGATAGCTGAGATGATCCAGCCTCACAGACTACTCTAGCCAAAACTTGAGACAAGTCCTGCAGTTTCCCATTATGCATAGATGGACAACAAATGATACTGCTTGAAATGCTTGAAAATTAGCCCAAAATTTTTCTTTTCAGGATCCTCTAAAGATGCTATCACTCCTAGATAACAGGAAGTAACTTTAAGAACATGATGGTGATATTACCAAAAGCTGAGGTGGGTGGTTTTTGGTCTTTCACTGGGTTATAGATATTTATCATTATTTAGAGGAATTGATTACAAGCAGTTATTGGTCATGGTCAGGAAAAAGCTAAATAAAGGATATTAGATTCAACTTGTTTTGAAAAGAAAAAAGAAGGATCAGATATGATATGATGAAAACAGTAGATTATTGAATCTACTCTGAAAAGAAAAAAGAGAAGATATAATATGATAAGATAAAAAGGCAGATTATTAAATCTACTTCTAAAAAGTAACTACTAGTTTCAAATATTTTACATTGGTTGGACTTCTGTATATTGTATACAAATATTGTATATTGATATAAATTTTAGACTAATTTTTTAAAACATACTGTACATACATTTCTAATATTGTTCATGGTATTATACCTATACAGCTCATTTATCAATGTAATGCAAATTTCTAGTCCTTGAAAGTTATTATTACCAACTATTTAAGATAATAAGGAAATGCAGGTTAGTAATTAGTCACCTATTATAATCGAACTTGTAGTCACAATAGGTATGCTTACAAGGTCAAACAGAGATATATTTTAGAAAAACAGTTTGTCTTCAAACATTCCCGATATCTACAGGATACGGCTTTTAATATGTTTTAATAACATGGGTTCTTTTTTATGACGATGAGACATGTCTGCTGCTGGCAGCACCAATCTACTTCAGAGAAGATGACAGGAATCACAGAAACTCCACATGGAGTTTACTTTCTTTGTGGAAAAAGTAGCCACTGGGCAAGAAAGTGCTCTTGCCTCAACTGCTGACAATACGCTGTCCAAATTAAAAAAACAGGACACGAAAGAGAGTGATTGCAAAACCTTGCTAAGACAAGGAAGGACAGACCTTCAAAAATCCTGCTTCACAGAAAGGTCTGCCAGATATGCTAGGTGAAAATGTATGCCCTCACATTGCAGAAGAACCTTGGGTGACTGTTCAGGAAGCCAGCTGTTTC